AATTATTCACACAAGAGGTTGCAAAAACATCTATTGTATGTTTTTTCTCTTATAAAGCTCATTTCACAGCTGAAGCGTCATTTATTGAACAAGATTTTTTTTTTCATCCCAAGCTATGCATTGCCCGCGGGACTTACAATTAGATTGAGTTCTCAATGCGTCCTTCGGTGCTTGGTGGAGGTGGCAATATGGCCCGCGAGGAAAAACGGATCTTGTAGGATATATTGAATCTGTCATTTATTAACCCCAGAAATTAATATATTTAAATAACGATAGAGGTTAATTTACTCCTATCCCTCCTAAAAAGAGTTACTTTAGTATAAATACTCAAATTTTTGTGTAGCAAAAGTGTTTTTTGAAGACACCAGAGCTGAAGGCAAAAAACAAAACAAATGTTGAGCAGATTTCATCTCAAAGGATAGTGGAACCTTCACATCCTGAGGAGGTACAGCGACATATGCAGACGACACAGCAATTTTAGCAAGACACAAAAGTACAAGATACGCCTCACAGACCCTACAACAGTATTTAACAAGATTACATGACTGGTTCAAACTTTGGAAAATCTGACTAAATCAAGATAAATCACAGCACATCACATTTACTCTTCGACGTGAAACATACCCTGCAGTTTTCTTTGACAATACACAGATTCCACAGACAGACACGGTCCACTACCTTGGTCTGACATTTGACCGAAAGGGGCTCACATATAACAAAGAAGAGAAAAACTCTAAATCAAAGACTCAGAATTCTGAACTCACTTCTTTCGAAACATTCAAAACTAAAACTAAGAGAAGCTATCTTGAAAGTGCACTCAAAGTGCACTCAAATGACACACAACCTTTTGTGTATCACATATAGTTATAACAAGCGCACAATTTTCTGATTTAACAAACGGAAAAAAAATCATTAAAGTTCTTAGTGTCATACGGTTATGAAATGTCACTTGATGACGTTTTGCAATAAGCCGACAATATATTTTAAATTAGCAGTTATAAATTATAAATTATTGATTAATGTAATTTTTAATTTAATTTAATTAATTAATGTACTAAAAAACTAAGACTTAGTAAAACTACGCGGTATGTGCTAATAATCCTCGAATGTTTTATGAGAATAAATATTACAATAGAATATTCTTGTTCAAGTGAAATTTAGCAAACGAATATTTTTATTTAAATATTATAAATTACTCCATCTTCATCTGTCCAACCAAGAATCTATTCAGTATTTATTTCACATTAAATAGTACAAATAATTTTAATGGTATAAAAAGCGGTAAAATGTTATTATAAATAGCATGGTAATATTTAACCGCGTGGAAAAACATGTGATGAGGGTGTGTCTATCAGCAAAGACTTTCATTAGAACTGCTTCACAATCCTAGATAAAAATGTATGTCTGAGATCTTCACCTTGAAGATATCCCGTGGAAGATTGGAATTATATAAAGAGGTTTTACATACCTTATTCAACATACCAAGGATACAATTTTATAAAACCATTAGGTAAAATTGTAGTTTATTTTCACTTTCACTTTATCTGAGTATGGAATATTTACCTAGTAAGGGAAAGTATTGCAATTGTTAAAACTCGAATTTTGGATTTCAACAGCAAATTATTTTTGAACACGCATGGAACTGAAATGGGGTATGCATTTGTACAAGAGTATCGGCTTACCAAACACACTTAACATAACCGATTATACACATATTTGTGATTCTCTCCAAGCCGTTTTAACGATAAATTAGTCTAATACGGCATCAATGCCGAATTTTCAAGATAGCTTTCTCTCATGTACCTTAAATATGGATCATTTGGTACAATTAACGGTCCCTCGTGGATTTTAGAAATATGAAATGGCTAAATATAAACTATCGAAGATTTTTTTAATCAGAAAGGAGAAAAAAAGGGATACTATACCCCAGATTGAAAATAAATTTTTGGAAATACTACAGTTTCTTCACTTTTACAAAAACTTCTTCGTAAATGAATATTAAAATAAGCTTTAAGTTCGTATTAATTAATTTGAGGTTTATAAGGGAAAATTTTGAGATTCAGTTTAAATTTTTTTAAAAAATTATGATATTTGTTATCCTGTCAGGTAAAAGTACTCCTGTTTTTATCAAAAAAAAATTTAATTTATTTATAAAAAAAATATTAATTCGAAAAATACTGATTATAGAACATTTTTTTTCGGTTAAATTGGTTATAAACTTTTTCACCCAGTTCCCTCGCTTATTATAAGAATTGATCTTTATTAATAAGTGACAAAATAAAAGTTTCTAGTTCTAAAATTTATGTTTAAAAAAAAACCTGCTGCTTCAATTATTTTAATTAAAACGATAATATTAGGATCAGGAACATTTAGTCTGTCATTTGTAAGTGCGTATCAATTCCTGAAATAGAGATTTGGGTGAAAAACACCCACAGTTTATAGCCGATATAACGGACAAATATTTGAAAAATCAGTATTTTTCAAATTAATTTTTGTAATAAATAAAATGTGTGTTTGGACAATGGGTTTACTAAGATACATTCCAGACCATGGAAAAACAAGAAACAAAAGCTTTTCAACAATTGTAGTCATTTTTGCTGAAAACAGGGATACTTTTACTTGACAGGATAAAAAATATCATAATTTTTTTAACAAAACTTGAGCTGAATCTCAATATTTTTCCTTATAAACTTCAACTTAATTAATACGAACTTAAGGTTTATTAACCGAAGAAGTTTTGTAAAAGTAGAGAAACTTTAGTTGAATGATGAAAAAAAAAAATGGCTAATAATTTATAATTTTTCTAAAAATAGAACTTAGCTTAGTTTAGCGGCTCAAAAGTCCTCTAGAAATGATTTTAACTTTAATAAACTCTATGTTCATTTAAAGAAAATTTTATCTTGTATACAATGAAGCAATTATTAATTACATAAATTAAACATTTCCTTAGTTATTGCTTTCGATTCAATAAAAACCATGACTCGTGTAAAAAAAAAACACAAAATTTGGATTTTCTACTTTTCTGCTGAAAATTGGCCGGCCTATTGTTTATACGAACTTTTTTGTAGCTCTTGAGCTCTGCTATCATTCCTATAAAAATTTCCCTCTACCTACGGGACACCCTGTATATATATATTTATGCTGTTGTAAAAACAAATATTTTAGATAAATAATACTAAGTATATAAATTTGAAGTAAAACGTTATGGAAAGAGATGAACAAATTATAAATAATAATTTCTTGAAACTAACATTGTTTTACGGAAGCTACATGAAATTTTCAAACTAAATAGAAGCTTTTACATTTACTTTCGTACTTACAAAAAAATATATTTAATGCTCCAAATTGTCGATAAAAACGGTATTTCCGTGGACGTAATGAAAATGGACCCAGATGAAAATATTTCAAGCATTGTTATCAAGTTAGAAAAACATGTGGTAAAAATAACGTTAATTACATTAAAATTAAACGTTAAATATTTTTTAATAACGTTCATTCAACAACTATGTTTAATCTTTCTAATGTATGTAAGACCAATAGCAATATTTCTATCAGGTGATCGCTTCTAACGAAATATAGTTTATGTTTTCTCAAGTAGCCCAATACTTATTAATTAACATGCTTAATTATTTTCCATTGGCTTATCAAGACACCATTCCCATGATTGATTCCTTATGAATTTAGTTTAATTAAATTGTTTAGTCAAAGATTGTCATTTACATAACAGAAGAGACAGTGCACATGTATTTTTTTGTAATAGTGATAATTACTTGGAACCATTAGTTAAAATTATCAATATTGATACAATAAAAATTGCATGGTCTGATTTCCGAGTAACTTAAATTAGAGAACAAATCGCTAACAAGCGATTGCCACAACCCCAGCCAGCAGTGTGACCACAATTGGCTGGATCAGAGACTTTGGCCTGGCATAAGCACTCTCAAACAGTTGACATTGAGTGACGTGTTCCGGTTACAATACAATAACTCCTTCTATTAAGTTATTATTCTCAATCGCCCAATTCGCTGTATAATTCATACTAGAAGAAAATCTTTAGACTTGTCAGTAATATGAAATTATTACATCCTGAAAAGTAACAAACAAAAAAAAAACTAAAACCACCACAATCTTTGGAGAGTCTTGGGTCCATTACTATCTTAGGAATTACTGTTTCTGTGCCAACGGTTATAAATGGAAGTGATTAGGCCGAGATTAAGTTCAACCGAGAACCCACCTATAGATGATGGCTGTGCCCCAAGAGTATCCTGATCCCAGGATCGATCCACAGCTGATGTGACAAAATAAATAATTATCTGCTACTGCCGTAATCGAACCAGCAACGGTGAGCGTAGGAGCACCCCGCTCCCTAAATTATTGCTATTTGAAAACCTTACGCCAACAAATAGAACATAAATAAATATCAAGTTCGGAAACATTAAAACGGCTTAACAATAAAAAAATATTTACGGCTTACCCATGCCATTTCGTTTTGCATGTTTTTAAAGATTTTTTTTTTTTTTTTTTAAAGTATAAATAAAACTTTAAAAGCATAAAAACCTTGTGGTTTAGTATTTTATAAGTATTTAATGCTTTAATCCAAAATTGCGGAAGTAGATAATTTTCGCTTAACCTCTCAATTAAGACTACATGTACCCGTTGAACCACGACTGGTGTAATAGAATAAGTATTTATCTCCCACAGCTTGACACGAACCTGGGACCGGAAAACAAGAAGACAGAACCCTACCCACCGAGCTACACAGCTTCCTGAAGTAGAAACCAATTAAACTATAACATAAGAATAATATTACAATAAAAATATTTATGCCATTTCAATCTTGTTGATGTTGATTGAAATGGAATATTATTATTATTATCATTATTGAAAAAACAAAATCCTCGCCTTTAAATGATTTAATTTTTTTAAAATTTTAAGTGACAATTTTTATCTTATATTTTCTGACTTTTACAAAACTTAGTAATGTTTTCTTCTTGTTACAGGAAGGTACGTTTTCCCCTCAGACGTGGCAGACTCAAGGTCTCTGCTTGTGACCATCGCCGTGGACACGAGAGACCCCAAGTGCTTGGACACCTTCGCCTACGTCGCAGATGTCACTGGGTACCGACTCCTGGTCGTCGACGCTGTTCGGCAAAAGTCTTGGAGGGTAACCAACAACTACTTCTATCCTTACCCACTACACGGCTCCTTCGACATCAATGGGGTCAGCTTCGATCTTATGGATGGTGTCATTGGCCTAGCTCTTGGTAAGAATCAATGTTACTTATGAATAAGAATCTTAAAGAAGATTCTTGATGACATATCATGTTATTTTTAGAGGAACTAGAACTATTTCAGCTTCGATATTTTCAAAATAAACAGCTTATTTTTATCATAATGTGTTCATCACAAGTGGAAATCCTAGTTAACGATAGTTATGATCTAGCATTTTCTAGACTAGGGGTCTCTAAACTATAAACCGCCAACATTTCCAATCTGGCCCACATAGTTCATTTTGATTATTATTTACAAACTATAAATTTTAGTAAACCACTCAGACATAAAGTGATTACCGATTTTATTGCCTAATTTATTTGTCCCTTCTTATAAAGCTCATTTCTCAACTTGATAGTCATTTATTGAAGAAACGTATCAGTTTTGAAAAAGTTGGTAAAAATCATCAAGATTTTCGGCCATATCACTTAATCAAATGATTAAGTTGTAAAAATATGGCTCAAAATTTAACATTCTTTAATTTCTGAAATTTCACCTTTTTTGCTTGGAAATACTATTCAATAGTTGTGGGTAAAAAAAACTGTATGCACACTTTTAACCACCTAAAAGATACTACAATATGCTTCTAAAACTCGATTCGTCATCTGTCAATCTGCCACTGTACAATTAAGCCTCCCAAATTAAATGCACTATTACAGGACATCGGGAAAGCTGATTTGTGGGCAGAGCAAAATCGTAACAAGCTTGACGAAAGCAAATGAAGACTAATTTAAAAATATGAAGAATAATTACATATCTTCATATACAAACCTCTACTCATCTATAAAGACTTGTTATTGCACTGCCAGATCCAGGATTTACTTTTGGGTGGACTTCAGCCGAATAGGTTTATTTTTTTTTCATTTATGTATAATGATAATTACTTTGGAAAAAAATAAAAGAAACTAGCTGTCTATATGAAATGGTGTTTAAGTGATAATTGAAGTCCGTTTAAATGTAATTACACGAACAATAATACTTTAAGAAACAATTTGTTTTCCATAAAACAGAGTCACATTTTTCCATTTGGAGGGGGAGAGGCTTCAGCCTGGAATTCCCCCTCCTCCTCTTCCCCTCCCATAAATCAGTCTGCGACTGTGTGGAAGTATATTTGATAATAAAACGAAACTTCAATATCTTATGAATCATTGCCAATTTGAAATTGAGCTCTGAGAGTAAAATAAAGTTTTATCCATAAACCTCAACTTACATGGTAAACTGTGAAGAGATAATTACTCTCTGCAATCTCCTCAAAGAGGAAGACCTTTAACACATTTTATTTGGATGTCCAATGTTAGCTCCAAGCAATAGCGGATCCAGGATTTAATTTTGGTGGAGGGCTTCAGGCCGAAAGCTTTTTTTTTCATAAAAATTACGATAATTACTTTGGAAAAAAAGAAAGAAACTAACTATCTATTTGAAATGGTGTTTAAGTGATTCCTTAAGTCCTTTTAAATGTAATTATACGAACAATAATTCTTTAAGAGATAATTTTTTAATATATTTTTCCATAAAGCATGGTTATATTTTACCATTTTGGGGAGGAGGGGGCTTCAGCCCGAAAGCCTCCCCTCCCCCTGTAGATCTGCCCGTGGCTCCAAGAGCCTTTACAAATTACTCTTGACCTGGAGATTCATATTATAAATTACTGGAGAATCATATTCGTAAGGCGAACTACTAATAAAAAAAATTTTTTTTAGAAATTCATTAAAAAATAGATCATTTATTTTGAATGAATAATTATTGTAGATTTCCATTTATGTGTTATTTTGTCTTTATTATCTTCTATCAAGAACGATTAGATAACAATATAATGTAGTGACAGCTATGTTTTGTCCTTTTTTTTCCATATTCTTATTTTATTTTGATTCTGACAAAATTTGTTCAATATGTGAAATTCTCCAAATTAATTATAAATGTATTTTATTTTTGTACAAGAACTATTTATTTTATTGGATTCTTATAAACAAATACATATTATTGAGCCCAGATAATTAGATGTTAAACAATCAACATTACAGCCATTTTGATTCTTGACCGCCTGGCCTAATATTTTTTAAATTACCATTTGGATTGATAGACAAGATTCATTTTATTTAAAGTAACATACAATTTCACAATTTATCTTCAAACCATTTCCTGATATAGTTCCCCTTTTTTAAGATTCTAGCTCTAGATTTTGATCTGTTTTGATCTGCTGATCTGTTGATTTAGAGAATACTAAATAAAGGTCATAGATGAAAAGTCATACATTTGTTATTTTTAAAAATCAATTATAAAAAGTTCCTTAAATTACTATTACTGGTAATAAATGAGAAACATACATGTAACGGTAACATCAATGTTTGATTTTAAATATTTTTGAACATTGATATAAGCATTTTTTTTTTTTACTTTCACTTACCTGTATATGAAAATACTCAGTTTTCAACAAAAATACACGTTTTAATGTCCCCTGAGTCCAAATAACCAAGTCCCGCAAAATGGTCTTTGTTTGTCTGTGTGTTAACAGTCTTGCTCAAAAACGAAAAGTTGTATGCTAGTGAAATTGCATATTTAAGGTTGTTATATGCTAGGGATGTTAGAGCAACTTTTTTGTCGAAATCGGCTAACTGGAAGTGGTACTGTATATTCTGGACTAAACACATTTTTGCAATTTTCTTGAAAACAGCTCTAACGGTTTTGATTAAATTTATCACATCAGTGTAAAATTAAGCAGTTTTAAACTTAAATAAACTGTAATTTTTTTCTGATTGATGTTTTCTAACAGGACTTAAATGGCTAATTTCCAATATTAGCTTCCTCTAAAGTACCTTTAATTTTTTTTATTTGAAACAAATACCCATTTCACATTATTTTCTTATACAAAAGATAGTTAAATACAAAATATGAAATAATTTGATAATTAACTAAATGAAAAATAAGAGATTTTAACGGAGAATAGTTGTAATTGAGGAACCAAAAGAATACAAGCACACCCGAGCTCGCCCAAAAGATTAGAACATGCTTCCATACGTAACATGAGCTAAATCCGACAATATTATGTAAATATACATGTGCGGTTTTCATAGATGCTATTGTTGGTATTATTTAATTTTTAATTGTACAGATTATAGCGATATAAATATTAAAATTTATTTATATAAGGGTACTCATAAAGATAAAAATACCCAAAATGAAATATAAATCAATATAACGTTTGTAATTTTTTACTTTCACTTCCCCTTTGTCTAAAAATACTTATTTCTGCTAAGAAGAGGGTGGTAAGTGTAAATTGTGTGATGAGTGCACCGCTCCAGATTTTTTATCCAATACAGAGGTCTCTTTTTGGTCTAGAGAAACATTTTGGTCCACGGCCACATTGAGATCACCACCAAGTCCTGCGGGCCATGGCTTGTGATGAAAAAAAATTTTTGTTCTATAAATGACCCTTCAGTTGTTGTATAAGCATGCTAAGAGAAACAACTAATGCAATAAATGTTGTAATAACCTACAATTTGGGAAATTTACTGAATTTCATAATTTTTAAATTTAATTAAAGAAACTTTCGGAGGGCAGATTGGAAATGCTTGCCAGATCCTGCCTGCGGGCCATAGTTTGACACTCCTGATCTAATGGATCCATCGGTGAAAAATTTGTAGATTTGGAGATCTCTGTTCACACTATTAGACATGTTTGTGATGACAAAACCATTATAACTTATTTTTTATTAATTTGATCATTATGTTTTGAGATTCACCATCTTTGGAACAATTATTACTGTAACAATAAATTATTAATATTTGTTTACAAGAAATGTTAATTTTTATATAATATTTTGTAGCTATCGACTATTATTGTAGTAATTAACTTTCTAATTTCTGTTTTTTTTTACTATAGTCCATCTTTTTCATAGCAAAAAATTAAAAACACACATCAAGGATTATTAATTTTCAAAGAATTTACTGAACAACAATGTTATTTTTTATAATAGACATGAGAATTGCTCAGTGATTGAAATCTAATCTTACACCAGTTTTAAATTAACCCATTTGTATTATTTTGAGAAAATAGAGTAAAAAATAAAATAAATTTAAATTAAAATGATTCCACATAACATTAGCTTTTCACATGTTAATAAAAGCACCAATCAATTTATAGTTCATATAACTGCTAAAAACAGTAAAATATTATGTACTCAGGACCTGTGGTGAACAATGACAGAAGGCTATACTTCCACTCTTTGGCTTCTGTCCGAGAGTCTTGGGTAGCTACGAGCCTTCTCAGAAACCAGACCCTCTTCACTGAAGGGGACGGTGCCCCGAGATCATTCCATGTCTCTCAGTTCACCAGGAGCTCTCAATCAGCAGCAGAAGCCATGTCTCCAAATGGTGTTCTGTTCTTTGGCCTCTTATCCCAGAATGCCATAGCTTGCTGGAACTCAAGGTTGCCATATGCACCACAGAACATAAATGTTGTAGCTAAGGTGAGTGCCAAAAAATATATACAATAAATAATAATAATAATAAATATATAATAAAAATATAAATCAAATTGATCTCCACTATGGCTACAATAAATGTTAAATGAGATATTAGGATTTCAGTAATTTTATAGATTTCTTTACCAAATCATTACTATTTTGAGTTACAAAGTGATTAAATCAAAGTATGCACTGTTTTTATAGATTCTTGATTGATATGTTAGAAATGCTACTATCACAAGCTCGGCAAAATCGAAGGACTGGACTGAAAATAAAATGTCTCTCTTAATAAATTTATTATTTAGCAATACCAAAAATTTTATTATATATAAAAAGTGTAATTAGATGCTTTATGAGATTTTATTAACATTTCAACCATGTGGTGGAATATAAAATTTAATTAAACTAATATGAATGTGCATTTTATAATTTATATACTTTTAATGACAAAATCTTAGTGACTGTTTAATAATTAATATATTAACTAATCATTAGAACGAATGATAAAAAGACTAACTTACATTTCTATTGATTTATGTATACCCGTAGCTTTAATCTGCATGCAGTAAGATTCATATTTTCTAAACATTTAGTCTCTGGAAAGCACATTATGGTTCTATTAGGCAGAATATTTAACTAGGACATTATCGTCATATCATTGTATGTATGATTCTCTATTTTTGAAATCTATTCCTTACACTTTCATTATTGTTAGTTCACATATGAAAGTGGCTGAGATAGGTTTTTTTTTAATTGAAAATACCGAACTTCAAATTATATTTATTTTGTATCATAAATTATTTTAGTCAAAGCATTGCAGCTTTTTTCCATTAATATTATTGTCTTTACTTTGATTCACACACACATTATGAATATACAATGAAATAAATCATTCTTATTTATCATAAATAAATTTTTCATAAAATAAATATATCATAAACAAACTTGGATGACTTAGTACATTTACTTTATCATCTACAATTTACCTATATAAATGTAATATACAGACATTACCTACATAAGAAATAAATAATCATTGTTACAATACAAGAGATGGTCCAGAGGAGAAAGTGTGACATTAAAAAATGGAGCATTTAAAGTGTAGTATTTAATGTATTTATTTTTAAAGAATATTGTACAGTCCCTTTATATGTTCTAATTATATCTCCTTTCTTTCACTCTTGTGCCTTTCAGCATCAAGCGGGAGCCTCAGTCCACTTCCTCTATTCATTTCTACCTTTGGCCACTTGACGTATCTGAATCCACGTTATTCTCTCATTTTTCCCAAACCTTCTAGTTGCTCTCTTTGTGGCTTTCTAGATCGTCCCATATGTCCTTGCCTTATAGCTTTCCTCTCTATATATCATTTCGTCTTGCAGGAATTCTCCATACATGTCCTATCCACCTGAGTTGATGCTCCTCTATTTTCACAAAGACTATACCTAATTCCCCAATGCCTTCATTATATACACAGACTCTCTTTGTCTCTTCTACGATTCTGCAGAAGTACATCATTTCTTCGGCAGTTATTTTTAAAATATGCTTCTCCAGAACTGTACAGTGTTCTGATTTATGTAATAACACTGGCAAGAATATTATTTTGAAGGTCACCAATTTTGTATTCCTATTTTCTAATTAATATATTACTGATTCGGTAGAAGATCTCATTAGTTTTCCTCACTCTGCTTGAAATTTCTGGATCTATGCAAGTATTTCTGCTTACGAGAGTACACAGATGTTGGTACCTATACATATAGATTCCAGTATCACTCCACAGCAATTGTTATTTAATATTTTTTTTCATTTCCTCCAACATGCATTACTTTACTTTATTTGCATATACATCTATCCCATTTTGAATTGATTCCTCACTCCATACCACAGCTGCTTTCTGAAAAATATCCTGAGAGTCTGCTATTAGCACTTTGTCATCAGCAAATACAAATGCATATACCAAAATAGGAAGAGGCTCCTGTGCCCAACAATGGTCTGAAGAGTTCTCTGGCAGATATTAAGAATCTAATCCATAAATGTCCAAGTATAGCGATCATGTATTTAATTAAACTAGACTTTCAGTAACAACAATCTGACAGAATGAACTCTCATCCTGTTATCTATAAAAAGGATAATTCTATTATATTTTCTTTTCTTTGTTAGCTTAAATTTATCTAAAAATGTAGATTTGTAAATGTATAAATGTTTTTCAATTAGAAAATATGTTGAAAGCTTTAATTAGATTTGTTCTTCATAGATAATTTAGTTTATATCACCTACAAAAGCACTTGATATTGTATATAAAGTACTTTATATATAGTGTACATATAAAAATACTTAGTATATTTGCATGCTGGTTTATATTTAGTTTAGAATCATTTGAATCTCGGAAGTCTAAGACTATTCCAGGAACTTTACTACCTTTATTGTAAATAGAATAATTGGTTTAATGGTACATGGTTTTAAGAAGTTTGGAAGGTGTTAATTACTTTAGAAGTGTCATGAAGAAGCTAAACCTGGTAAGTTATAATAAAACTATTCAATTTTGCTTTGCTTAAATATTTCAAAGAAACTTTGAAAAAAATATTAAATATCATTATTTAACATCTTTCTCTAATAAAATAACACGTAGCTATGCTTAATTGCATGCACTAAAACTCTTATGTGATATTCACATTAAATTACTAACATATTATATTTCCATTCACTATTTCGCTTTCATTCTTTTGATATTCATTCCATATTCACCATTAAAAATTGTTGAAAACTGCAGAAATAATACTTGTCATTTCAGACATGTCACTTTCCACATATTTATTTTTAAAAAAATTAGTAGTGTAATGAAAAGTCTTGTGTAGTCTAACTAGCTGAAAGTACGATACCATATGAATTCTGAACATATTAATTTCATCAAGGTCAAAACAAAGGTTTCAATTTTTTAATTTTAATTTTATTACCTTGCAATGTAGGAGTTGTAGTATTTTTATTACAGGACATTAACAAATTGTGGGAAGATTGGGATAATCTTAAATCAGTAGATAATACTTCACTACAATTTAAGGGGGAACGAAATGATCACGGTTCGATAAAGAATGTCTAAAGTTGCGAAAAATAAATAAAACTGGTATATGAAATGTTTTAATTAGTGATAACCAAAGTGGTTCCTGCCGAACATGGTAATTGTTAGAACCACCAAAAGGATCAGTGATAAAATTCAAGTGTGGACATTGAGAAGTATACCAAAGATTAAATATAAAGTAATTATAAAACAATTTTGATTATTATAAAAGAAAAACACAAATAACAATACACACATTTGTAGTGATTATTTGCTTCTTGAATATAATATTAATATAGATAGGCACAATCTTAGTATGGCCTGAATCGCACCTTCTATAGCTGAAAACAGAAACCAAAGAATAAGAATACCACAAGATTACAATCATATCTTAGAAATTTGATATAATACTGATGTCTCTTCAGTTTGTGCAGAAATATTTTGCAAATAACATACCCTAAACCTATATATGTGTGTGAGCACTTATATTTATATCCAAAATTTTAACACTAGATATATATATAAAAAAAGAGAGAGAGAGAGAGAGAGAGAGAGAATGTTCACTGCATTGTTTATTTTATTGAATTTTAAAAAATTACAATTTCAGGAGGGCATCATGATTTAAAAAAAAAAAAAAGAAACAGGTCAAATATATATGGGAAACTATGCTTTAAAAAACACTTATAGCTGTTGTGTAATTTTGAAGAAAAAAGTTTAGACTTTATAATATTAAAAAAAAAATCAACATAAAAAAAACTGATTGAATCAGAATTAAATTGTATTTATTTGTGCAAGAACGTTATTAGATTATGCAAATGTTTTGAGCCGATGGTGACCTGAAATTAAAAAATAAACAATAGAATCAAATTAAATATGGTGAATTATTAGATAAGTTCAAGGAGTATATTTATCATATGTATTAAGTGTTACTTCAAGGACACAGAAAGAAAGAGCCAAAATTCCAGTTAAAAATTAAAACTATATAATACAGCTAGAATAGAAAATATTCCTAGTGACTAGGTCAAGGCAGGCAAGGAAATTTTAATCTCTAAAATATATTAGTAAAAACAAAAAAATTAGAAAATAAAGAAACATAGTGATAAAAAGTAAAGGTAGCGAAAAAATATATAATATTTTAAAAAATAAAGCATTGTACAGAAAACTGTTATAAAAAAGAATTAATCAACTGGAAAATGTATATTGCTATACAATGTAGAATTATGTTACATGCAATTGGTAAATAAATAAATTATTAGAAACATAGTGAACTGGAAAAAAAAAAACATCTGAGGTATAGACTTATGTGGAAATAAGAGAATCATGTAAGGTCTGATGTAGATTTGGTTTGTTATGGAGTCTAATGTTGGATATTAATATAGGCAGTGGATTGTACATAATACCAGCATTGAAACCTCCAAACCTGATTATTGTTATTATTTATACTTCAATTATCTAAAGCAGAAGATATTTTCTGTAAATAAATAGTTTATGAGAACATTATTTTTTACTTCACTGTAATTTTCTGTATTTTTTATTGCTGAATTTAATTAATCCCACCCACTCAAATATTTTATAATCACTAAATTAGAATAATTTATATTCTTTGCTTTTATGTTACACCTTATGTAGTTTGAAATTAGTTTTCCACGAATCACCATTGCACAGTTACTTTTACAGAGAAAATTATAGTACCCATGCTAAAGAAATATACTTTGTATTTGAACACAGTAGAAAAGTTTGTAGATTGGATTAGTAAACAATTGAGTGTAATTAGTTTGACATTACCAAGACTAAATACTTACCTGCATATAATGTTTTATTTTAATGAAACTATAACTTTTAAGATAGTGTATTATTGGTTTTTACCTAATGGAAGACATATTTTTAGCTATTCTGTTTTCTAGACTATATTACTCTCACTATAGTTTTCATTTTGTCCAAACCTCATCAT